TGGGCAAAGGGAAAATTGAAAGGATGATGATAATGATGATGATTGATGATGGTGATGATTGATGATGATGATAATGGTGATAATAGTACCATATCTTATACTTGTCAAAGCCTATGCTAAGAATCTCATAGATTCGTAGACTTACAGCATTTTAGAATGAGAAGGGACTTTCAAGATATTTTTGTCCACCATCATCTCAGTTGATCACATGAGATTATATTTATGGAAGGTGCAGTCAAAACTGTAAAATGCTAAACAAAGGTAAGATATTATCAGAGCCTCACAACCTATCATAAGATAGGTTGGGCAGTTGTTATTATTTTTGCTTTATGAATGAGGAAACAGAGAGTTAGAGAAGATTTAGAAAGACTAAATGATTTGCCCAAAGCTTCTCAGTTCATTGTAGAGCTGAAAATAGAAGCTGGCCTTTTAGGTTATCTTTCTTTGTCTTATACTGTAACAAAGTCATCCTCATAACGATCAGAGGCCATAGATAGATTCTTAACCCAGAGATGGGTCCTTGCAACCTCTTTGAGGCACACTCTTATAGGTATAATGGGAGATTCCCTGTTAATAAGGAGCTTTTGACATTTTATAAGAAATGCCACTGCTTTCTCCCTCCTCAAATTATCAAATTTTCTCCTCTCCCTCCTCACCTCTGCCTCTTAGTTTTCTTGGCTTCCTTCAAGACTAGTTCAAGTGCCATCTTTTTCAGGAGACCTTTCTTGGTCCTCTCAGCTGCTAGTATCCTGTTTTCTAAGGTTCCCTTCCACCTTTCATCTTCTCCATATGTAGATCGTGGAGCAGCTAGGTGATGCAACCAATAGAATGTTGGACATGGAGTCAAGATCTGAGTTCATAATCTTCAGACATTTACTAACTGTGTGAGTCTGAGAAAGTCACTTAACCTCTGTCTTCTTCAGTTTCTTCAACTGTGAAATGGGGGTAAAAATAGCCCCTACCTCACAGAGTTGTTGTGAGGATCAAATAAGATAATATGTTAAGAGTTTTATGAAGCTGAAAGTGCTTTACAAATGTTAGCTATGCTGGATCTTGTATGTACCTATTTATGTATTTGTTGGCTACCTCCATTAGAATGTAAGCTCCTTGAGGGCAGGCTTTGTTTTTGCTTTTTATTTGTAACTCTAATGCTTACCACAGTGCCTGGCACATAGTACTTAATACATTCTTGTTGATTGATTGACCTCTTTACCTATCAGTGCACATACATTTTGTCTTCCTCATTAGAATGTAAGCTTCCTGGGGGCAGGGATTGTTTTTGCTTTTTCTTTGCATCTCCATCATTTAGTAGAAGGCCTTGCACATAGTAAACACTTAATAAAAGTTTGTTGACTAATTAACTGTCTGTATCTGTGGACTCACATCACTCACTCCTTGGAGCTTAAATAGTTGCTTCTTCTTCAGAGTGGCCATCTCTGCTCTCTGTAGGAAGACCTTCAGTCTGTTACCTAGCTCCGCTTTTTTTCTTTTGCTCCTTATCAGTTACATTTTTCTGTGCTTACTCCCTCTTTCTGAAATAGATAAGATTTATATTCATGTTCTTTCTCTTTTTCTTTATTTTCCCTTTGAAACTCTTTCTTTCTTGTTCCAGTCCAATCCAATAAACATTTATTCAGTATCTGCTATGTTTCAGGCACTGTGCTAAGGATTGGGAATACAATTAATAAAAAGAAAGTCAGCCTCTGCCCTCCAAGAGCTTACAATCTAAAGGGGGAGACATCATATAAAAGGAAGCAGGAAAAGTGGGGTGGGGATGTAGGGGGTACACTAGGGAGTACCAGGATGAGAGCATTGTTTTGTAGAGTTTAAACCAGGCAGAGTAGCAGATGCAAAGTGTAATAAGCTGAGAGTTCAGTTTCTGCCCTCTATAAAGGAAGGCATTGGGAGGAATTTGGTATGCTGTCTTCCAGCCCTCCAACCAGAGGGGAGAGGAAGCTGAGGGAGGTGATATCAATCAATTATTTCCTGTTCTTTGAAGGAACTCACCACACTAACAACTTTGTTAATAAGTAACAGGATCTTGATCCTGTAGTAAGAAGCAGAGCTATAATTTAATCTGATTCCAAATCCAGTATTCTTTCCACAGCTTAGCACAGTGCCTGGCACAGAATAGGTGTTTAATTAATGTTTATTAATTGATAAACTATAGTGCTTTTTGGCTGTTTGGAGTATTCTTTAAGAAGTATAGACTTCCCTTAGGATAAGGAGGATTGTCATTTTTTAGGGGAGTAAAATAGAGGAAATTTTAAGCACATTTTCCTGTGGAAAAATTGCTATATTCAAAAGTACTCTTAAATCATGCATGATTCCATTTGTTATTTTAGAAAGAGAATATTGTTCACGTCAGCATCTTCTCATAGCACCCCTATTCACATCTTGTGGAACACTTGGGTTCTCTTGGAAGACAGCTTTAAAAATATTGGGGGGGGTTAAATAGGCAAATTCAATAACACTGAAACTACAATTTTATCTTTGAAATTAAATTGTTATTAAAAATATTCGGGCAATGTGGAAACTGGGTAAAGCCAGCAGAAGTTAACCATAGAGATCATTTAATGTAATCATCTCATTTTACAAATGAGGGACCTAAGGTACTTAGAGGTAAAGGGACTTGGGGAAAATCACATAGCCAGTGAGAAGAAGAGCCTCAACTAGAACCTGGGTTTCAAGCTCCCAGGCCAGTTTTCTTTCCACTATACCAATATGGCCTTGGGACAACTCGATGGAATTCAGCTCTCATGGAGCTATTACTTTGTAAAGTATGTGACACACTGGCAGTTCTAGATGTAGCTGTGGAGGGTACACTTAGCTGGAGGTTACTCATTGTTTCCTCTTTTCTCCATCCTCTTTGTGTCTGGTGATTAATAATCCACACCCTCTAACAACAATTAGTTCATATTTTAGCCTATGGGGAAATATTAGGTCTCTATTGGGTAAATATTTAACCACTTGGGTTCACAAAGCCCTTTCTCAATTATTTTATAGAGTTTATATTAACCAGTTAGGAATACAATTACAATGTCTCCAAGCCAACAGTTAGCAAAATTCCTAACATTTAGGCAAATATTTTTCTCTGCCGTAATTTAAGTTTTGTTTGTCTCTAACTAACCCCTATATATAGTAAACACTTTGACTTGGACTTTTTTGTGTATGAGGCAAAATTTTAGGTTATTTGGAATATTTGGGGTAATAAAATTAGTAGGGAATGTTTCAGTCACTGTAGGCCCAGGGAGAGGAAGTCAGAAAGAGGAGACTTTTTCTTGGAACTTTCCTCAGTCCTTGAAAGAGACCAAATCTTTTGCTCCAAGATATCTATAGGGATGTTTGGCCCTCCTTGATCTCTCTCTTCTCTGCTGCAGCTCATCTCTTCTTTCAGTCTTTCACTTTTTCTTTCTCCTGGTTAACTGTGTCACTGATTTTTCCTGGCTTAACTCATCGAGTTGAGCCAGTCCTTGATGGGGCTGGAAAAGCCAACACACTCACTCACTGACTCACTCACACTCACACTCTCACTCTCACTCTCTCTCTCTCTCTCTCTCTCTCTCTCTCTCTCTCTCTCTCTCTCTCTCTCTCTCTCTCCTTTCCTTCCTCTCCTTCTCCCTCTCCTTTTCTGTCTCTCTTCTCCCTCTCCTCACTCTCTCCTCGATTCTTTATCTCCCTCCATCTCTCTCCCCCTCCATAGCTCTTTCTCTTTCTCCTCCCTTTCACCACCGGCTCAGTCTTCTCATTCTTCCCCTCTTCCTCCCCTCCTTCCCTTCTTCTCCCCAAGAGGCACTGTGGATAGAGCGAATAGAGCAGACTACTTGGTTTGAAATCGGAAGATCTGAATTCAAATCCCAGACATTTACTAGCAATATGAGTCTGGGCAATTCATTTAACCTCTCTCAGGCACAGTTTCCTCATCTTAAAATGAGGAGTTAGAATTAATGGCCTTTTAATTTAATTTTCAAATTTCACTTTAAAATCCCTTTCAGTTATAAACCTATGGTCCTATGATTAATACTAAGGTTTTAATAACTGAAAAATATTTTGTATATATTATCAATTGTTATTTTCACTATCACCAATGAAATATGTATGTGTGTTAAAAAGAAAAATACTGCAAAAAAGGAATCTCTAATGGTGGAATTTCAGTATCATAGGGTGATAGATCTCATTGTCATTGAGTCCAACCCACTTAGTTTATAGATGAATAAACTGAGAAACAGTTTAACTGAGGTTAACCAACCTTCCTTAGGTCACACAGCTAGAGCAAGTCAGCTAACCTCAGTTAAACTGCTCCTTAGTTTGTGAGAGAACTGTTTTGTGGAGGAAATGGGGTGGATCTCTCTGGACTCCCCCAGTGCACCTTATAAACAACATTCCACCAGTAGGTAAGGACACCTCTGTACCTAGTATTCTCATACAGCTCCCTAGAAGCTCAGGGCCTCTAAAATACTTTGGGACAGGTAGTATCCCAAAATAGGGTATAAAACTGTAAAGTACCATGTAAATGTAATGTGTTCTTATTCTTACCTAAGATACTGAAGGTAGTAATAAGAATAATTAATATATTCATGCCCCGTAGGTAAAGTTTGACCATTTTAACAAGAGTTTTCTGAGGAATATACTAGAGCCAGCTCCTACTAGCTGATTTTTAAATTTTCATTGTGAGTGTTCACACTTCAGAAATCAGCAAACAGCACAAGTCAGGTCTTAGTTTATTGTTTTGTTGATCATTGAGACTTAATAATGTAATGAAGAAAAAATAATGCAGATTAAACTTAAAAGTATGCTGTGCATTTTGTTTTGTTTTGAAGAGCTGATTACTTAATGTTTACCAGCGCACCCCTGTGTCTTCCAGAAATAATGCTGTAAGTCAGGAAAATTTACCAAATGATTGGCTATCAGACACTTTGACAATTCAGGGTGATGGAGGGGAAAGATATAGTTTTGGTTGGGAGAGAGAGAAAAGGAACCCTCTTTCTTGCCTCTGGCATATCACCATGTAATTGATGTCTTTATTCTCCAAATACACCTTGAGTTCACCCTACTAGGGGACAGTAGTGACCAAGGAGTATGGGTGGGATTCATTGTATAGAAAAGGCCTGGGCTTGAGGGTAGACTTGATCCAATCAAGATTCCATGACAGTCCCCTTTCCAGGCATGATGAAGATATAGGAGGATCACCCCTGGGCATGGAGGCCCTAAATGTAAATTAAAACACCAGGCTTGAGAGATTGGGAGTAATCTACCAGTGGAGATCTTCCATTCAGCTGTGGATGGAAACCAAGTGTCAGGAAACTGTAATCATAAGATCTTGGGTTTATCTATCACTTAAAACCTTTTCATATCACTTTCAAGGCTATTATCTATCCCTACCCACATCCCCAAAGCAAGGCAGGCACAATTATCCTCAATTTTAAGAAAAATAGAAGCCCAGACAGAGTCAGTAGTTTGTTCAAGGTCACATATAAATTAGTGGCTGAGCTGAGACTGGGACCAAAATCTCCTGACTGCTCATCTTTCTGCCTTGCCATAAGGCCCCTGTTATGGGGGGGTCAAGGAGATAAGAACACTACTAATAACAAGAACCTTTTAGCTGCACTAGTTCAGCAAACACCTACATACCCATTCCTTCATTAGCTCCTCACAACAATTCCATGATGGAAGTAGGACAGGTCTTGTTTATTCTCATTTTACAAATTAGGAAACTGAGGTTCAGGGAAGTAAATGATTTGCCTGAGGTCCTTCAAATGTAGGTTTGGGACCTCCACCCTCTCTTCTGACTCTGGGTCTACTGCCTTTTTCATCTCATCATGCTATGTTTCCCAACAACAAAAGATCAACATTCTCAACATAGGCCTCATATTCCCGGTCCCTTAGAGCACATCCAATCTAATGAGGTTGGAATGGCTCCCAGAAGGTAGTGACTAGTTAATTAGAAGGCTTTGAGAAAACTCAAGGTTATTGTTGGGGACGCAGACATTCAACCCAATTTTACATACTTTCAAGCTAGTACCCACCTGAGGGTTCCCTCATTTCCTTTGGACACCACAGGACTCAGAACTTGCAATTGCTGCTATCAGATCTGTCCTGAGCATCTCAGCCCACAAAGAGTGCCGAAGCTGCTCCGTGGGCTTGGGCACTAGCTCCAATGCTTTCACTCTTTCGGCTGGGAGTCCTCCTACCCCCACCCATGCCCCAGGCTCAATCACAAAAGTCTTCACCTGGAGGCTCTTCCTCTTCTCCTTCCCCTCCCCCACGCTCACCCAATCTCAAAGACTCACATCCCAGGATGTTCACAATCCTTACTTTCTGACTCCTGCACTCACAAACCTCACTGACTTAAAACTCCACAATCACCCAGAGAGCCAGCTCCTCAAGCTTATTCCACTATGACCCATAGCCTGCTTAGTTATAGGCCAATTAACTATGGCCAACAGCTGTTGCCTTCATCCACCCTTACCCCCAACCCCAACTAGACCTAGCCTTAACAATTAGTCCTAATCATAATGGCCCGCCTCCTCTCCATCCCTCCTCGGACCTAGACCATGCCGCCAGCCTGCAGACAGGCTCCCTTGCCTGGCAGTCAGTCACGTTTGCACACGTGGAAGAAAAAGTCTACAATGTCTACAGCAGTGCTTCTGAATACAAAAGACAATTCTTTATATGTACATAAAATATTAAATATCATAGAACAGTGTGCACACCCAAGCACACATATAGAGGTGTTAGGAAACCCCGGAGGGTTTTTAAAAATTAATAATTTTTACCTATTTGAGAAAGAACAAAATGACAAATGGAATTTCAGAGCTTTGTCCTGAAATCTATTTCTCATTCCTTAGGAGGCAGCAATATATAGTGAAAAGACCTGGGTTCAAGTCTCACATCTGCCACTTACTAGCTGTTATAATGTTAGCCCAACAGCTTCCACTCTTTATATCTCAGTTTCTTCATCTGTAGAGTGGAGAGAGTTATGCTTGTATTGGGCATCTCCCTGTATTGCTGTGAGGATGAGCTGAAATAGTGTTTGAGGCAATATTTTGCGACTGTAAATTGCCCTGTCAGTATGAAGAATTCACTTTGGGCTTGCCATAGCTTCAAGGATCCTGGATGGAGCAGTAAGGTGTGATCTGAAAGAAGGTGCAGCTCACTGTCTCCACCCTCCCACCTTTCCAATCTCCTTCCACCTGCCACCCTACCCCCATACTCTGGGATCCAGTGCATTGGCCTCCTGGCTGTTCCATGAACAAAACACTCTCAACTCCAAATGTCTTATCTGGTTGCCCTCCAGGCCTGCCATGTTCTCCCTATTCATCTCTACCTCTCAGATTCCCTGACTTCCTTCAAGTACCAGCTAAAATCCCACCTTCTAAAGGAAGCTTTTCCCAACCCCTCTTACTTTTTAAATTTTGATTTTTAATTTTTAATTTAATTTAAATATGTTGATTATTTCCAGTTTATCTTGTACATACTTTTCTTTACTCGTAATTGTCTATATGTTGTTTTTTGCCATCAGACTATGAGGTCCTTGAGAGCAGGAACCTTTCTTTGTAAGTCTCATGCTTAATGTAGTTCCTGGTACATAGTAGGTGCTTAATAAATGTTGACTGCCTGGTGCTTAGCCATCTTCAGTAGGCCTTATGTCTAATGCAGGTGCTAGCATGGAGTCAGGTAGGATTGTTTGAAAGAGTAAACAGGCCTTTTCCCAATGACCTATGGAACTACCTAAAAACTTTGCCTTTAAAAATCCTACAATCCTAGAATGTTAGACCTGGAAAAGGACTTTGGAGAGAAAGTCTTAATCCTTCATTTAAAGGATGGGAAAACAGGTTGAAAGAAGGGAAGAGGCTTGTCCAAGGTCATATAGCTATTGAAGAACCGGAACTGAAACCTGGGTCTAGGTCTAGAACTCCCAGGCCAGTGCTTTTCTTGCTATTTCATACTTTCATGGCTGTTAACTCTTGTCAATAAAAGTCTGAGCCCTGGACACTGTCCAATGGTCTGGCCTCTTGGGAAACTGTTCAGCTGGTTTTCGTGAATATTGTCTCATCTTCCCCAGAACCTTCTGACTCCCAATGGTACTAGCTCTTTCCCAAACAGTTTTCAACAATTTGATCTCTCCTAGAATAGCATATGAACTCTGTTTATTCTTGCCAGGCTCACCAGGGAGCCCTGCTGATTCCTTCCTCCTCCATTGTTAGTGTGTTTGAATTAGCATCAGTAACAGATGGGATAAAAGCTAGGAAAATTAGTTACTCCAAGGAATCTACTTAAAGACACTGTTCAATACTATGTTCAGCCACAACTACGTGAAAATAGCAATTTCCCGAATGTCTCAGGGATTTCATTACAACTCTATATGATATAATATACATACATACCATAATAACACCTTATGTTTGTATAGCACTTTACAAAGGATTGAGGCCTCAGAGATCATCTAGCCCAACCTTCTCATTTTATAGCTGGAGAAACTGAGGCTGATGAGGGGTAAAGTATCTTACTGAGGGTCATAGATGAGCCAGGATTCAAGGGAATATCATTTGACATTGAATCAAGGACTCCTTCCAATACAACATGGTGCCGATTCGCAAAGAAGTAGAACATCTAGGCCCAAGGCCTGGCTCTGACAGCTATGTGTCCTTGGGCAACTTATTCAATCTCTCTCAGCTTTAGTCTCCTTATCTGTAAAATGAAGCTAATAGCATATACACAATCCATACCTATGGATCTAGGGTAGAGGGGAAGGAGAAGTCAGTACCCTCAGGGGCTATAAGGTACCCTGTGGGCACTCCTAAAACTATAACCCAGGAGTGCCCACCGGTGTCTTCCATTAGACACAATTACCTCAAAGCAAAGGCATTTACTAAAAAAGGTATGGTTAAGAATAGTGTTTGCAACCAGCTCCATGATTCTGGGCCATAGTTTCCCACAAAAACATAGAGTGTCAGTGGAAAAAGTGGGCACAAACTTAGAATATGCTGGTCATGAGACACACATAGGGAGCAAACGTGGCCCAGGGAACTCCTCTCTGATATTGTAGGGCCTGGTGTTTTAATGCAGGCTTTCGCCTCTACTGCCTTAAGCTAAGTGGGTGAGTTCTGAGCCCAGCTCAACTGCATTACCTGAGTCTACCCCTCTTGGCAACTCAACTTGACTTCTAGGGCTAGTTCTCTCTTCAATCCAGTCAGCTCTGTTCTCTGCTGCCTGAAGTCACACTCCTTGAAACTGCTTCCTGCCCCTGACTGTGTCTGTTACTGGGTGAGTAACTCCATTGCAAGAGCCATGTCAAAGGGGAGCTAGGGGAGAAAATCTCATCTACCCTCTGGTAAGGACAGAAGGGTTATACTCCACAAGGGCTGCTTCCAGGGATGGCAGGCTTAACTTTTTAAAGGCCAGGTTCTGTCAGGGAAAACACTTTCATACTTTATAAAGGGATAACAGAGTGTTATGAATGAATAGGGGGCAGCTAGTTGGCACAGTGTCCGGACTGCTGGGTCTGGATTCAGAAAGACCTGAGTTCCAATCTGGTCTCAGACACTTATTAGCTGTGTGACCCTAAGCAAGTCACTTAACCCTATTTGCCTCAGTTTCCCCATGTGTCAAGTGAGCTGTAGAAGGAAATGGCAAACCACTGCAGTATCTTTGCCATGAAAACCCTAAATGGGGTTACAAAGAGTCAGACATGACTGAAAAAGGACTGAACCACAAAAATAAGTACATTTTACAAATAACTAATGTTTGGGCATTTGCGTTTAGAAAACTAAAGTATTATACAAATACAATCTAAGTATTATTATTAAGTGCCAGTGCTTTTAAAAGATTAACTATTTTAATGGAAAATTATTCCAAGATATGTTACACAATTCCTTAATTCCTCAAAGAATATGGATGCAGAGGTCATTATTTACTTTCCCAGGCTGTGATAGAGTCATATACTCATGGACTGTTGAAGTAGGTAGAGTTATTTGCCCCTACGTTGAAAAGTCCCAGATTGCTATGTTTAAAAAAAGTGTATTCTGGTTTTTCACTTTATTTATAGTTTGTCTTTTCCTCCTCCTCCTTTGATCATGGGCTGTCAGTTACTATATGTCACTGCTGTCAGCATGCCTGCCACTGTCTAGTATACTACCCCCACTGCTTGTCCATTTCTAAGTTGCTGCTTCAGATTTTCTGTGGACCAGAAAACCAAACAAAGATGCTTAGCAGAACTATGTGTAAATTAAAATGAATATGCTGAGGGGAACTTGAAGGGCTTTACTGTGAAAATGGAGTGTTAGTACATCAAGTTGTGATATCTGTCTTGGTATCAGTTGCTCATGGGTAATTTTCGTTTAACCTCAGGTTCTCAACTGTGATCTTTGTAAGCGAAATTGTCAAAGGTGCAACCTCTGTATTTGTGAGTTATGATTTAGAAAACCTGTTTGTGTTGATCGTCTGACAATGCTGAATCAATGAGCGATTACCAGAAGTTAGAATCAGAAGGGGATCATTCAGTCCAGCTTCCATCCAACTCTATACCAGTGATCATCTGGCCTCACCTTGAACACTTCCAGTGATAGGAAGCTCACTACCTCACGAAGAGGTCCACTGCATAATAATCGTAACACATTGTATAGTACTTTACTCACAATAACTTCATGAGACACAGAAGGAGAACCTTTCCTCAATTTCCTCAATTTCATTGATGAGGAAACAGAGATTAGTGATTTGCCCATGCTCACACAGCTATAAGAGTCAAAGGCAAGATTCAAATCCAGGTTACCTGATTCCAAGCCTACCATGACATTCGTTACATTGATTAAGCACCAGCTAGGAACAGGGCACTGTGTTGGATAAAAAGCAAAAATGAAATGGTGCTTGACCTCCAGAAGCTTACATTCTCTCAGTTTCGTTGCTAGGCAGCAGCAGTTATTAGAAAAGATTTCCTTTTATGGAGCCTAGCTCTGCTTTCTTTCCCTCTGGTGGTCCTTGTTCTGCCCAGAACAAGGAAAATAAGGCTGATCCCTCATCCACATGACAGCCTGTCAGATAGCTGGCGACAAATCATAAATTATGTCCCTATTCTTCCCCAATGTTCACGTGTCCGTGTGTATGTGCACCTGTGCACTTGTGCATGTTCATGAATGTGAGCTCACATAGATCCATCAGTTATGTGTGTATATTTAAATGTTCAAATTATTATTAGCACTCCTTTTGTGAAATGTTTCATCTAATAGTGATTATATTCAGTAGCTGGAAGAAATACAAATCAGTTCTAAGAGACACATTTGCAAGTAAAAATCAAATATCCATTCTGTGCATGTTGCTTGGTTTTTAGAGGTCCACTGTCATTTCTGGCTATATGAGCTCCTGCTAATTTTTGTGGCTCCATAGGTTTCATCTTAGGTACATAACACGGTGCTTTGCACACTTAGAAGCCTAAGACTTAGCACAGACTGGGAAAGAAGAGGATAATCTATTTCTTATCATTCTTCTTCCTTTTAGTAGGGATATAGGAAGGAAGGAAGGAAGGAAGGAAGGAAGGAAGGAAGGAAGGAAGGAAGGAAGGAAGGAAGGAAGGAAGGAAGGAAGGAAGGAAAGAAGAAGGAAGGAGGAAAGAAGTAAAGGAAGGAAGGAAGTGAAGGGAAGGAAGGAGAGAGGGAGGGAGAAAGGAAGGAAAAGAGGGAGGAGAGAAAGAAACATTTATTAATTACCTACCATTATATATCAAGCACTGTGATAAGCATTTTTAAAATATTATTTGATCCTCACAACAACCCTGGGAGATAGGTAGTCATTACCTTGATTTTACAGGTGAGTAAAGTGAGGCATTCAGAAGTGAAGGGACTTTCCCAGAGTCACATAGCCAGGAAATGTCTGCCACCATAGTTATCACTTTCACATCATGGGGTGAGGGTTGAGAGGTGTAGTGCCCCCACGATCTGGAAAATCCATGTAAAATTTTTTGGCCTTCCCTTTGAACTAAGAAGTATGAATTATTATGGTATTAAAAGATAAAATATATTTATATTATATAATACTATACATACACTTTATGTATTTTCTAAGTTTCTGAACTTCTTTCTGTGTTGTCTGCGGCTTCTGCAAAATTCTCCAAAAATTCCCACTTAATTTCTTATGCCAACTCTCGATATGTCAAAACCTTGATGGGGAAAGTTGTGATCTGGAATGAATAAATATAGATTTGAATTCAGGTCTTCCTGATGCCAGGCTTAATGCTCTACTATCTAGCTGCCTCTAGACATTGTAGGATGTTAGAGCCAGAAGGAACCTTTGAACCATCTTGCCTAACCCCCTCATTTTACAGATAAGGAAACTGAGGCCCAAAGAGTAGAAGGGACTTGCCCAAGATCACTGGCTAATTAGTGACATAATTGGAATTTAAAGTGTAGTGGTCCTCTGCTGCAGACTGTCTCCCATGTTTATCTTCTGTGTTGTATTATCTTCTAGGCTCCCTGGGGATAGAGACTAGACTTTTAATTTCAATGGTATAGGAAATTCACAGGTGAGGAAATTCCCTCTACCAATGCTCTGGACCTTCTTGGCAACTTGTAGTCTTGAAGAATTGCCTAGAGCCCTGAGAAATTAAGTTACCTGCCCAGGGTCACACAGCCAGCATGAATTCTTCTTGGCTCTGAGACTAAATCTCTACCCATGACAGCTCCACGGCCAGGAACAAATAAGCAACAGATGAGTCTTTGGGGACCTGGTAAAGAAACAGAGTGAGAGAGAATTGGAATTGGTTGCATTTAAGCCCTAAATGGTCCCAAAGTCTCTGGGATCTCTTCTAGATTGATGGAGAAACGGAAAAAGTGGGAGGAAGAGGCAGGATCCTATATACTAGATATGCACGATAGGGAGCAGAGTAGAGATTTGGAGGCAGGCAATAAGAATCTCAGTACAACACACCACCACAGATTGCCCCAGCCATGTCATCACTCACGAGGTCAATCTCTTCCTAATCACAGGTACGTGTGTGGCCAATAAACTTCTCCCACTCCGTCCTCTGTGTAGGGTGAGTGATCCGCTGTCTCCTAAATCCCCTGGTTCTGCCTCTGCCTAGACCTTGGCTTCTTGCTCCAGCTGCTTTTCAACAACTAGAATAGAGGGTAGTTGCAGGCTGGGGATTAGTGGGAGAATCACATCATTGAGCCTAATTAGTGCACCAGTTTCTTTCAGGCTAACAAGAGGGGAGGGAGGAAAATTCATTTCCTGGCTGTGGTTTGGGGGCACTAATTGGCCTCCCTGCCATGTGCCTAGGGGAAGATGCATCACTCAGAGTACATTATGATCCTGCTCAGGCGGTATCATACAATGATAAAGACTTCTTACCTAGAAAAGCAAGGAAAAGTTACTAGAACAAAGCAAAGGGTCAGTTTCAGCCTAGATTGAATTCCCTGGGTTGGGGAAACTATGCAGTAGCAATGAGGAATGGGGGAAGCAGGGAGAAGGCACAGGACAATGGGATGGTACTGTGTTGTTGGCCTACATGGTTACAGGCTGAAGGTTGGGAAAATAAAAAGGTTTAGTCTTCAATTCAATTCATCCAACACTTATTAAGCACCTGCTGTGTGCAAGGTACTGGGGGAGAGACAAAGATAGAGATGGCATGGCCTCTGCCCTCAAGGAGCTGACACTTCACTGGGGGAATTCCAAAGGTATAAGGAAGATGCATGGAGTGGTCCAGGCAAGGTGCTAGATGAAATCTGAAGAGGAAGAGATCACCTTAATCTGGGGCAAAGCAGTGGAGAAGGAGAGGTATTAAAGAAGGTTTCCTTGGAGAGGTAGCACCAGAGTTTAGCCTTAGAAGAAGGAAGGGACCTCATTGAGAGTCCTGATGAAAGGATGTGGAGGTGGGATAGTGGCAGGATCTCTTCTAGGGATGGAGGACGCAGGGACTAAAGGCACAGAGAGTTGAGAGAGCAGGATGAGAGCAGAGGATTGTAGAATACATGAAGAGTTCTAGTAGGAGATTAGGGTGGATAAAGATTTATTAGCCACTTTGTGGGAGGTCTTGAATGTCAGAGTTAGGGGCATTAACTGAATCTGGTAGACAAAGTGGGGGCCAGTAAAAGTTTTTTTGAGTATAAGAGTAACATAATGCATTCAGAAGGTTACTTGGGCAGCAGTGGGAAGTATGAATTAGAGGGGATCAACTGGAGGTAGGAAGATTAATTAGGAGGCCATTATAATCTAGAGAAGAGACAGAACTCATAAAGTAGCTGGAGGGCCTGGCTTATCTTGCTGCAGGCACAAGAATATGTAAGTCCACCCCCACTGCTAATTATGTTAGCCTTTCACACTGCTCAACCTTACAGCTCTACCAAATGCTAGCCTCCTTGTTTTATAGATAGGGAAACTGAGGCACAGAATCTTGCAGTCATTAGGTTGTGAGCTCCTGAATGACAGGGAGTGTTTGTTTTTGCCTTTCTTTGTATCCCCAGACCTTAGCATAGTACATGGCACAATTTTCATTGACTTGAGATGGTTTTCCTCAGGGCCAAATGGAGAATCAGAACCAGAAAGACCAGTATTCCAAGACAACTGTTAGAAGCCTGAGTCCTAGCCTACCTCCTCCAGCTTGCCCACTCTGGTTGAGTGGATTATAGCTCACTTTAAACCCAAGTAGCAGTGACTCACCTTGTCGGTCTGTGTCTGTCTGAAAGAGAGCTGAGGAAAGGAAAATGCAGCAGCTAAGGCTAGCCAGACTGGCCCTCTCTGATCAAGATCACCAGGTCCCAGGGCACAGGACCCAAGCCTCTTTTGTCTTTTTTTTTTTTGTGATACCCTGGTGACCAGTTGGTATGGAAAAATGGCAGGTACAGACCTAAGAATTAAACCGCATTCTGTTTCATACCCTTGGTCTCCAAGGAGCCTTAAATACTTTGCACAGCCAGGAACTTTAATCCTAGAGGCAGCCCTGAATTGTGAGCAGAGTCAGGCAGAGGTTGAGGCAGAGGCATTTTTCCAGGCTGTGTCATCCCAGCCTAACAAAGGATGAGAATTACTATTGGAAAGGAGTAGAGAGAGTCAGGGAGGAAAATAGATCTGGGCAGGCTGACACCAAATAAATACAGTTACTTGGTGCAGTGAATAGACCACCAGGCCTGGAGTTAGGAAGACTCATCTTTCTGTGTTCAAATCTAGCCTCAGATGCTTACTAGCTGTGTGATCCTGGGCAAGTCACTTAACCCTGTTTGCCTTAGTTTCCTCATCTGTAAAATTAGCTAGAGAAGGAAACAGCAAACCATTACAGTGTCTTTGCCAAGAAAACCCCAAATGTGGTCATGAAGAGTCAGACATGACTGAAAAATGATGGAAACAATAGGTATAATTATGGATAATCTAACTGACAGAAATATTTTTAGACCACAACCCAAATATTATCTAGTATAATACTGAAACAGTGTAGGTGGGCAGGGAGGAGTGCAAATGCTTCTCTCCATTTTATAGGTATGGAACTGAGAGTTAGAGGAGAAAAGCAATTACATCCATGGCCACACACCAGCTCATAGAATTAGAGCATCCCTAAGTTAGAAGAGCTAACTGAGAGGTCGTCTAGTACACACTTCTTAAACTGTGGGTCACCACCCAAAAAATCTTACAACAGTAAAAGATTTCCAAACACAGAAAAAAACAGAAATTAATTAAAAATCAAACACGTAATGAACCCGGGGTGTTTCTGGCAGCACTTGCCCCTGTGGCATCTCGAAACTTCACTGCAGCCTTGGTTCTGAACACACAGCACAAGCACTTTGCACTGTGCGTGCCCTCAGGCTGCTCAATGCCCACAAAAGTGCAAGAAGTTTAAGAAGCCCCAGTCTAGTTCACCTGAGGCATGCACCCTTTCTCTGACCTTCCTGACCAGTGGATATCCAGTCTGTGGCCAAACACCTCCGATTCGAGGCCGAGATAAAACGTAGGCATACTTCATTCTTACTGCAAATTTGGTATATCCCTAGACCTGGTGACTAGAAGCCCTGGGAACTGAATATTCTAGGACTAGTGAAGATCCAAAAGGCAACCTGGCCTCCCAGGAAGAGCTGAGTTCAAGTTCTGTTTCTGATACATATAGTCACTGAGAGTCTCTGAGATTCTCAGTTACAACCAACTTGCCAATCCGCATGGGTAAAGGGAATTCCAATACCAGGCACTGCCTACATTGATTAAATCACGTCTAGATTTTTTTTTAAAAGATTTATCCAGCTGCCTGGGAAGGGTTATGCTTTAGCATACCTGCTTGTTTGGATAAGCACCTCCCCAGAGCTCGGTGGGCTTGGAAACAGAGGGCTCAGGGCCCATGGCTGTCTTTCTCGTTCTCCTAAAAGAATATACACAATAAAGTTACGGTATGGAGAAAGGTTATAAGCCATTACCCTGAGGGCAGGTATTCTGCCCTTTTTTGTACCCCCAGTGCTTAGCGCAATACCTGGCACTTAGTAGGTGCTTTGTTACTGTCGTTTAGCCTTTGTGACCCCATTTGGGGTTTTCTTGGCAAAGATTCTGAAGTGGTTTGACTTTTCCTCCTCCAGCTCTTTTTATAGATGGGGAAAGTGAAGCAAACAGGCTGAAGTGACTTGCCCAGATTTATACAGCTGATAAGTGTCTAAGACCAGATTTGAACTCAGATCTTCCTGACTCCAGGCCTGGACAGCTCTCTCCACTGCGCCATCAGCTGTAGGTGCTTAATAAATGTTTATTGATTGATTGAGCCCCAACTCCAACTCATACTTACCTTAATATGGCAGAGATCCTCAGTTTGAGTGGTCATAGTATGAGGATCTGGACCAAACCAGATATATCAAGGCTGTGACTGGATTTTTTGTAAGGTTCATGGCCTACCAAAGTCTCATGGGATGGCTGAGTTCACATGAAAAGAAGTACTCTATATAGTGGCTGAGGAGATAAGGATGGAAGAGACTCAAATGAATAGAGTGACCAGAACTTTGTCCCACGTTGCCAATAACGTGAGGGGAGGGGAGCAGCACTTACTCCCTACAGCAATCCTCTGCCAGCCCAGAGTGATGCTTCTCTACTTCAGAACAGCCTACTCATCCCCTCTGTCATGCCCCATTTCTGATGCCTCCTCTACCTCACCTCTTCCTGGCACTTGGTGTGTTGGAGTCCAGCTACGCAACAGGGCCTGAAGATGGACTCTGGTGACATGCTGTCCCCTCTTCCAGTGTGACTGCCCCTGACCTAGTCATATTTTCTTCTATGTGCCTGCACCCTTGTCCCTCAGATGAATCTTCCTCAAATGCTGTGCTCCCTGGTTACTACTCTGCCACATGAGCAGGATAGAAATTCTATAACTAGGTAACTTGGGGTGCACAAGAGGGAGCAGAAGTCATTAAAAACATAATGTGAACAACAGGGCCTCATCAAGTGATGGCAAATACCAATAATTTAGGAGACCCCAGGCTGTGGGTTACTCATATGGAGAATGGCTTCATCCTTTTCTTCCCTGGGCTGTATATAGAGCTCTTCCCCTGAAAATTCCCAGAGCTACCCAGGCAGAATTTTATAACCTCAGCCTTCATAACACAGCCCTGAGCATTGGTGATATGTGGAACAGGACTAGGATTTGGGGAGGCAGGAATGTGTCTCATTTTCAAATGGGATGGGAGAAGATTATGGACTCTGTGGATCGCCACCCAAAAAATCTGGCTATCTGGAAAAGGGACTCAGGAGGCCCCTGGATCTGTCCTCAGCATTGTTCTGTTAAACATTGTTATCAATGACTTAGTCAAAGTCACAAATAGTGTACCTGTCAGATTTGTGGATGACAGACAAAATGCAAAGAATAGTAAGATGCTGGATGACAGCATCAGTATCCAAAAAGATCTTGACAAGCTAGAATGATGGGCTGAATCTAATAAGATGAAATTTGATAGAACTACATGTAAGGTCTTACTCTTGAGTTCAAAAAAATCAGCTATACAGAGACACAGAGATGTAGCTAGCTAATACTTCCTGTGGAAAAGCTCAGAGTGGGGGAAGGAGGAGGGTGGACTGGAAATTCCACATGAGTCAACATTATGGCATGGAATCCTAAAAAGATTGGCAGTATGGATGGCATAGGGGAGAGAGAGCTAGTTTCAAATTTGGGAGCTGGGTTCAAATGCTGCTTCTGACAAATGCTGACTTAGTGAGTGACCCAGGGGGAAGTCACTTAACCTCTCAGTTCTCTAAGCAGCTCTCTAAGCCTTTCTAAGCTGCAGAGCAGGGGCTGATCTGCATTAGTTTATGAGGTGCCCTCTCCTGGCATTTCCTTATATTAATGAAATCCCAGGTCCATTCTCTGCCCCATCATTTGATTTTAGACTGCATTAGATTAAGACTGCAGAAGAATAGTGTCCAGACCAATGGAGTATTTAATAGTGCTGCTCAATTCTTCCTTGGTCTGGCCACAGCTAAAGCATCACGTTAAATTCTAAATGCTTCATCTTGAGAGGAGCTACAGCAAATCCAGAGAAGAGAGTGCTTAAAACCATGTGCTAAGAGAATAGTTCAAGGACAGCTGGTGGGACAGTGGATAGAACACTGGGCTTGGAATCAGGAAGACTCCTCTTCAGGTGTTCAAAACTGGCCTCAGACACTTATTACCTGGGTGATTCTGGGCAAGTCACTTAATCCTGTTTGCCTCAGTTTCCTCATCTGTAAAATGAGCTGGAGAAGGAAATGGCAAACCATTTCAGTATATTTGCCAAGAAAACCTCAAAACGGGGTCACGAAGAGTCGGACATGACTGAAATGACTGAATAACAAGAAAAAGAATAGCTCAAAGAAATTAGACATGTTAAGCCTGGAAAAGAGGACATTCAGAGGAAGGGGAGGATGAGAAAGGATGAGATAGCTGTCTCCAAATATTTAAAGGCTGCCATGTTGAAGAGAAAGTCTTTTTTCCACCAACTTGGCTCCTGTAATAAGGAATCATAACAATGGGTAGAAATTACAGAGACAGGTTTTGGCTCAAAATGAGAGGAAATGTACTATTAAATAATGCTGCTTCAACCTGGACATTGCTGGAAGTCTTCAAGCTGGGGTTGAATGACCATTTGTCAAGGATGTTATAAACATCCTGTTCAGCTGGGGGTGGATTAAATGATCTCTGAGGTTTGGTCCAACTTGTTAATGATTCTATGATTCCTGCTTCTTGGTCCAGAAGCCTCATCTCCCATACCAGTGGGGGAATTTTGGAATTTTGGGGGGTTTTTGTTTGTTTATTTTTTTGGTGGCAAAATGAAAGCCAGAAGGTGACCTAACAAGTCTTTGAAATGTTGTTGCATGAGAAAAGGGAACCAGCTGTTCTCTATTTTTGATGAGATCAGAGGGAGAGGAAGTAGGTTAATACAACAACATGAAGAGTTTAGGTTAGACATCAAAAGGACTTTCTGACATGATTCATTTAGAAAGGCTCATTGAGGTAGGTTGTGGAATGGCCTCCCCTAGAGGTCTTTGGAAAGTGGATAGATAATGATAGTCACATTCACATACAGCAAGAAGAACTAAAACAAATTCTTATAGTCTTTTCTTGTCCTGTGATGCTATTACCAAATTTTCCCTGTTCTTTTATATAAGAGAACCTGACAGAAGCACTTTCCATGTCTCTTTCTTGATTTTCTTTTCCCTCAAAGTTCTCCTGTCCTTTTTCTTTTATCTTCACATACTTGCAGGTGCCCTGAATCTTTCCCCAAAATTCCCACCCTCTTCCCTACCTGATCTTTTGTTCATTTCCAGCATACCAATTCTGGTCTCTATTCCTCACCTTTCTGTCCATGAATTGAATGCACTTCCACCCGAGGGCAGAGAAATGGCCTCTCAAGTGTCTTCCAGGCACAGAAATCTGTGATACTTTATTTATCTCCTGATCCCAATGCCCTAAAAAACATTCACAGTTCTCCAAGTTCCCCAGATCACCTCCTCCTTGGGGGAAAATCCACCCCCAATGTCTTCCCAGTCCTCTCCTATTGATCTCCTCAGATTGGCCAGTGGCATGTGTCAGAGGGCCTCAGCATGGACAACCATCTCTCCTCCTCCAACATCTCCGACAGCCTCTTCAACACCACCCTGGTCGTCACCACCATCCTGGTAAGCCAGGCCTCAGCCTCTACCTCTTCTTTCTTGGTATCCACAGTTCCCTAGGAGGGTATGCCCATCAGGGCTAATCAGTCACAGAAGTCCTGGTGAACAGCCAATCCCAGTTCTAATCACAGCACTGAGGCCAATTGATGACAGTGTAATTAAAGTCAAGTTGCTGGTTCATTTGGAAATATTATTTGATGGCTTCCAAGGCGTCTGGGGAGGAAAGCTAGAGTGGGGAGGTGGTGCCATTGATAAATGCCTCTGGAAGTAGGGTATCTAGAATGCTCCAAACAGCTGCTTGCTACAAAGACAATGTGGACTTATGTCACAATGGGTAGTCCATATGGGGAGAAGCCCAGTCTTCCTGAACAGCTCTATGTCCCTAGACACTCTGCCCAGTTCAGTGTCCCTGTTGCATAGGGGCAGGCTGGACTTCCACAGAGGGTAGTTGAGTATGTGGGAGCAAACCTGCCCGGTTGGGGCCTTTGTGGGTTGGGGAATGGATAGAAGTGACCAGGACACAGTGACCCATGGGTTGATATGTAGGGTACATGCTTAGCCTTAGTTGGGGACCCATTTCACCATGCTCTTAAGAGTCCTGGGATATGTTTGCATCCTTTACATATATAGAAATATTAACCAGGCTGTCTTAGTGATTATCTAACAAGGAAGGGGAAAGATAGGGAGAGATCAGATATCTGAAATTTTTTTGTGATGTTTAGATCATAACCCATGCATCTCCCAGACATGATTCATTATTCTTTATTTATTTCATTCATTCAATAAATATTTCTTAGGTACCTACTGTGTGCCCAACCTAGTGGCCAAGCACTGTGAGTGGTACAGAAACCCTGTAGGAATTTGGGGGGATATAAAGCCTTTGTACAGTGGGAACCCAATTAGAACATTGCTGGCCTCTTTCTCCCTGGAACAATGCTGGTGACACCAGTCCTTCCCAATAATTGGGAAATGTTTGATGATTCTGGGAGAGTCTTTGGGTCTCCCAAGAGGTGAAGTGAGCCAGGATTGTTTCATCTATTGTCATTGTATCCCTAGCAACTGTGTAGTGCCTGGCAGATGGTAAGTGTTTAATAGATGCTTGTTAATTGATTGATTGCTCAAGGTCACACAGGGCAGCAAATAGTAGACCCAGAATTTGAACCTGAGTCACCTGACTCCAAATCCACAACTCTCTCCACTCATCTTTTAATAACTATGACGTATTCAAAAATGTAGTGTCAGACTGCATAGCCCCTAAAATTCAGTACACATCTGAGTCGGTTCCCTGGCTTGAACTGCTGGTCAGGGTGTGCTCAGGGAAAGCAAATTTATTGATTGATTGATTTCAGCCAAGCAAAACAGCATGGGGTAAGGAGGAGAGGGAGGGAAATCTGCTGGAGGAAAGAAACAAATATATCGTATGCCAAAGTCAAATAGCAGTGACCTTTAGCTTGGTTGATATTTTGAATGATTCCTGAACATAATTAATAAAGGTTTGTTGAATGAATGAATGAATAAACATGAATAATGGAGAGTTTACCATAAATACAGCAAGGACTCATAGGTTTGGTTTTTTTCCCCAAAGAATCACCTTGCAAGTTATTCCTAACCCTATTGTGGCTTTCTCCCCACCACACACTCCTTACTACCACTATCTCACCTCTACCACACATAAATTTATACCAGCTATATGTTAAATACATTTACTTTGACAATTAAAGAAAACATTAAATTAATTTGGAAGGACAGAAATTTCAACAGAATTTCCTAACATGCCTTGAGATTCAATTTTTATAAATTTTAATTCAATTCAATAAGTATTCATTAAGCATTGTACTCAGGACACTACGTCAGAGGTGTCAAACACACAGCCCCACCAGCAGCATGAGACCCATAGCACTCTAAAGTGCTGCCAAACCAGATTAAAATGTACTTGGGAAATATTTCACAAAATAAATAAAATACAATAAAACATAGATAATGTTAACATGTACTTCTCTAAGTCAATACACAGGTTGCAGGGATCCCTATGTACCAGTTTAGAAAACTCTATTTGAGTTTGGCACCACTGCTGAATATTGTGCTTTGGAATACAAAGACAAAAAACAAAACAATACCTGCCCTCAATTGGCTAACATTCTACTCAAATAACTGGAGTCATCTCTGAGTATGACCAAACCACGGCTGGAAGTCCCTGGACCAGGCTTTTTATCCAGCTTTATATTCAATCCTTTTTAAAGGATTGACGAACACCTACTCTGTGCCCAGCACCGTGCTAGATATTGCGCAGGACATAAGAGAAAGATGACATTGACTCTGCCCTTGAGGAATTTACAAGCTGGTTGAGGAGATGAGACTTGTATACAGTCCAACTGGGGAGAGACAGAACTAGTACTCACAAGGCAGGGAAGGGACAGCCTATGTGGAGATGACTTAAAATGCTGTGGGACTTCAGTCAAGGCAGAAGTTAATCAGAGAAGGCTTCTTGGAGGAGGTGGGGGTTCAAATTGGCCTTGAAAGATTGGCAAGATTTAGCCAAATGGAGGGGATGGGTAAGGGAGGATATTTTAAGTATATGGAAAAGCTTGAGTGAAGGGCCAGAGATGGAAATGATAAAGACACACATGGGGAAAAAAAGGAGAGTTTTGGCCCATTCCCACAAACATAGCCCATGCTTTGGACCTTGTCATCATCCAGAGTGTGCATCTCTAAAACCTCACATTTAGAGCTTCCCTTCTCTGACCACCACCTCCTTATGTTCCACCCCAATTCCTCTCTCCAACCACTTATACCTACCCTTCTTGAGCCTTGCCAAGTGTGTGCTATTGATATGCCAGGGCTAAGATGAGAATGACAGCTGCCTAGTTTCGCTGCAGGAGAACCCATACTTAATGCTGAAGGGGAACCACCAAGAAATGGAAGGCAATGACCGCTATGAAGGCTTCTGCGTGGACATGCTTAAGGAACTCTCGGAGATCCTGCGCTTCAACTATAAGATCCGCCTTGTTGGGGATGGAGTATATGGTGTGCCTGAGGCCAACGGCACTTGGACAGGAATGGTCGGGGAGCTGATTGCTCGGGTAAGAAAGGGACTGTGGGTTATCTCAGACCTAGATTAAGAAGGTGATGGGGAAAGGGGAAAATGGGGTCTATATTCATATTCAGCACACACTACTTGTCATAATCAATAGTGTTCTTTATTTGAAATATTTTATTGATGCTTTGGTGGTGGTGGTGTTTTTATTACATCACTGGTATTTCTCATAAATCCTTTTCCCACAAACCCTCTTATGTAACAAAGAAAAAGCATTAAGCAAACAAACCAACTCATTAACCATGTCTGAATGCATCTCACATCTAGTTCATCTTCTCCAATAAGAGAAAGAAAATATGTTTCATCATCCATCCTCTGAAATCAAGATTGGTTATCATGTCAATATGAATTCTAATACCTTTCAATATTTTCCTTTCAATTATTGTGGCCATTGTTCTCCTCTCTTGGTTCTGCTTTCTTTGCTCTGCCTCAGTTCATTCAAGACTCTCCAAGTTTCTCTGAAGTCCTCTTAAGTTATTATTCCTTATTCCATTAAGTTAATGGAATATTCCATTAATATTCCATTAAATTGATGGAATATTCCATTAAATTAATATATTGGAGTTTGTTCAGCCATTCCTTGATTAATGGGCATTGATGTTGTTTCCAGTTATTTGCTCATGTAAAATGTCCCTTTAAATATTTTGGCATATATAGGATTTTTCACTATCTTTGACATCTTTGTAGTTTAACAGTAAATTTTTATGGGATCTTAGTTATCCAGAGTGTTCTGAAAAATAGTAGGGGCTTAATAAATGTTTCTCAATCCAGGAAATATTGGAAAATTTGTGGATATTCCAAACTCATTGCTTCCCCAACTGAAAGTCAATTTCCTTGATCATTAATACCTCTCAGAAGTTGGGAAGATACAGTGAAAATTGGATGAACTCAAATTGAGTTAATTTGTTATTTATAAGAACCTCTCAAGCAAGAGGTGGCAACTAATGGGGGAAAACAAGCTTGAGAATTTTCTATCAGCTGAATGAGCAGTACTTCTTTTGTTGTTTATCATATTATTTTTTCATCTCAATTATCTTTATATAGCTAAGGTGGTCAAGGACAAGAAGTATGGTCAGACATTTGGGTGGTCTTGTAGATTTTTTTGTCTTTTTTTTGTGTTTTTTTTTTAATTTTGTGGGGTTTTTTTAGTCTTATATATCTTAAAGACTAATGTGCAGGATGGGGTTAAAATTCCAGCACACCATAGATGGCAGGACAGAGAGATTGTATAAAAGGAAATGGGACCACAAGGAAAACTAAGTATTCTTGGTACAAGCACAAGGTTAAATAGTCATTAAAAGGTCTTTTTGCCAAAAGAAAATAACTAATTTATTGTTAATCCTGGAACAAGATTAGAATTATCAACTTAAAACTTGAAGGGAATTCATAGAGTTCATCAGTTGTAGGGCTGGAAGAGGGAACTTTACTTGTCACCTCGAATGCTTCCTCATTTCACAGAGGAGAGGAGAAGAGAAACTGAGACCCAAATTAGTTGAGACTTGTTAGTGAGTGTCAGAACTAAAACTAAAACCCAAGCCTCCTGGATCCCAAACTTTGTTGTTGTTTTTTATTCAGTCATTTCAGTCATATCCAATTCTTCATGACTCCATTCTGGGTTAGAGTAGTTTGCCATTTCCTTCTCCAGCTCTTTTTACAGATGAGGAAACTGAAGCAAACAGATTGACATGACTTGCCTAGGGTCACATAGCTACTAAATATCTGATGTTGGATTTAAACTCATGTCTTCCTGACTCCAGACCTCACACTATCCACTGAGCCACCTAACTGCCCAAACTAGTACTCTCTTATCATGATCAGGCTTTTCAGTTTT